ATTATGAGATAATTACTATATTCCGAACTACAGAGTTAGCTGATAATCAACTGTAGTACAGTTCAGAGTTCTCATACTTAAGTTTGCTTTACTGAAATTTAAAGTTGTCCACCTGATTTATCAGAAGCAGTTTTAAGTTTTCCGGTATCCACAAGTTGATATAATAAGGTTTTGGTTTGGTTATTATTCAAGTATGATGATACTTCATTTATTTAATGAGATATAATTTACTGTTAATTAAACTGTTAGGCTAACATGGCATATAGCCTGACATGACTGCCTGTTATGTAAAAAAATGTGTTGACAATTTAAGCCAGAAGACTAGAGGATATAACATTAAATACATATATCAACACAATTTTGAGATATACAAATGCAACCCAAAGGAATAATGCCCCCCCTATAAAATTCTAACAGTCTAAGTCACTATATCATTCTTCAAGATTCTGAATGCAAAATCACAGCATATGGATGAATTCCAATTAATGACCAGGCCACCTAACTTGCCAGATCTTAGACCTATAGAGCACATTTGGGATGTCATGGAGCAGCAGCTTAGAGCTCAAACTCCATGTCAGAATATCTTGACTTTGTGCGACCACTGCTTAGACACTTGGTACAACCTTCAGTGTATATTTCTGTACATAAATGAGCAAATTAAATCACTAGCAACCCTTTTTTTTAACACCAAGTGCTATATTTCTGTGCATATTTTTACAAAAAGTACTCTATTTCTCTGCACTTTTTACTGACTCGAGATTTCGTTGCAAATTTTCTCGAAGATAGAGTTTTACTCATTTTTACTTTTATATGACTGCCTTGACTAAATAATTCATGGTTTTAAAAAATAAATTTAACATTTTAAAATTTAATGTACATACACTGAGAAATTTTAATTTTTTTTTAACAATCCATTTTTTATTAGTGGGAATACTTAAAAACTGAATTTACAATTGATTACTGATATTTATAATAATAAACTAAATCATAAAAATATGATAATTAACTCTTCTGTTCATTATATTACATCAAAATATTAATCAATGCTCAATTTTCTTTTATACATCACTACCCATGCAGCAAATTTACAGTAGACACCACTTAATGTTCTCATTTGTATATTATTATCGAATTGCTGAAGTCCCGTGTGTTTGTATACCAAAACATGGAAAATACATCACTTATTGTGATCAACAAGTTATAGCTAACATGATCAAATTATTATAGAATTTTTTTTAACTGAGAAAAAGTCGAAAAATAAAAGATTAATTCACCAAAATAAGCTTAAAATACTTAATAAAAATTATCAAGTACAAAGAAATGTTACTAAGTAGATTGTGGTGTCAAACTGAGGGCTTGTGGGCTGCAGACAGCCCCAAAGTAATTTTATGTGGCCTGCAAATGCATTTCAATTATGTATTTGTTCCAAGTCTGATGTGGCAAAAGTTTCAAGGTTTTAGTTACTTACAATAAAAGTTTACATTATTTTCATTTCCATTAGAGACGAACAGGAATAATGTACCAGAAAATATATTAATGGAACTAATTAACTGGTAACGTAATATAAATTTCATTCAAGGATTTGAAGATACGCATTTCATTAATTTTTATGTGTCTTGTATCTTCTGTCAAAAAATATGTACAAATTTTTATATTAAGAATATGTTTTGTTTGAGAAAGCATTTATATATGAATAGCTTTTTTTCACAGTTGAAAATTACTAAGAAAAGAAACAGATGGATAGAAGCATCTACAATTCCTGCTGAAGATAATTTCTTGTAGTTTTTCTCCAAACCTACACATTTTATTAAAAACAAAATGCCATCATGTGTAATGCTAGAGTAAGAAATAAAAATCTGCAATTATTTAGATACAAACACATGTATTTTTATTTATGCATCATAGAAAAACTGAATTAACCGTTTGACTGTTACGCGATGCAAAAGCACTGCGTTCATTTGTCTCGAAAACCGCGACGCAGCGGTTGCTCTGTGGGTGTGAACGCATGTAGTCTGACCTCACGCGTACTTTGTAACACGAGTGCATTCTAAAATAACGAACTGCGTCGCGGTTTTCAAGACAAATGAACGCAGCGATTTTGCGCCATGTAGCAGTCAAATGGTTAATAAAAGACTAGATTGTCATTATTTATCTTGAAGTTCTGTTTCCCCTTACTAATTTTTTTTCTGAAAACTTAAAAGTTTTCATAATTTGTTTTAGTTTAAATGAAAGCAAATTATTTAATGATTAATTAATCATGTTAGAATTATTTTTAATAAATGTTAGTCTGAAAATTTAATATTTAACTTTCAATATATCTGAATTATAAACCAATGAATGAATGAATAGTCTTGAATGTACCAGACTTTAGACTTTAGAGAGAAAATAAATATAAATTTGAATTCCTTTCTGTTGCTATTGTTTATTATTATTTATGTATGTTTTGGTGAATATTTAGTGGTCAAAATAAAAATTTATTAAAATTACTTTTTCATTTTATTAATAAAATTTTTCATTTTGAAAAAAAAGAAAAAAAAAAAAAAAAAAAAAACACAACCTATTTTGAAGCTTATTTTTTCTCATCGTTGAATATTATCATATGGTTAATGGTATAAAAATACTCATGGAACAACGTGATCAAATTAAGCAATGCCCGCTGTACGGACAAAACTTTTTGCCATTTTCCCAGAGAAAATGGGAATCATCCATGGCATTGGTAATATATCTTTTTTTAACTCTTTATTTCAACAAAATTAAAATCCATTTCCATAATTAAGTTTTTAAAACACTGCCATTGTGTTTTACCTCTATAATCAAGCTGCAATAATTTTTAACTATCCACTCTGTATGACTTTTAAATTTACTCTTCCAACATTTATTAAATGAGATATCAAGTGGTTGTAAGACTTAAGTTAAAGAAATCAGAAATTACAGCCATATCTACCCAATCTTCTTTTAGATGAGTAGTCTCAAACTAGTGACTCTTGAAGCAATTCGGCCCACTAAGATACTTCAATTATGCATTTGTTGCAAATATTGGATTAATATCAAGATTTTAATTATTTTTAAGTCCAGAATTTTATTATTTTCATTTTCATTAAAAGTGAATTATCAGAAAATCTATATATGAAGATAATTAATTGAAGATATGAAATATATTTTACTCAAAGATTTATACTTTATTCACTTTTTGAACTTATAAAAAAAATAAATGAGCACAGTTACAAATTTTTCACTAAGAATAATCGTTTGGAAATACATTTATGTGTGAATGGCTTTTTTACACAGTTTAAAATTAATATGAAAGAACCCAATTGACTGACGCACATCTACAATCCACGATGAAAATAATTTCTAGTAATTTCCCGCCAAAGCTACAAATTTTAAATGTCAAACTTTAGTAAGAAATAAAGAAGTTCATCATTATTTACTTACAAATAAATATATGTATTGTTACGAAATGTACAGGTGCGGTAAGATGGCTTCTCCGCAAAGCAGTTTTAGGGTTGCCATAAAATGGCAAGGGAAGGCAGGGTTGCCCCATTTGGCGATAAAATTGGCAATATGCCATGGACGGATGGAGAACCTTCTGGAACGAATTCTTACTGGTTTAGCTCAGAATGTTCTTGAACACTAGCCAAAAGCTATATAAACCCTACTGGTCCGCAGTCATGGAGTGAGTGTGCCTCGTCTAGAGTTCGAGATAGTGTCTCGAGTTAGTCAGTCCTTGCGGAGTCGATCGAGTTGACAGCTGGCCAGCGAGCACCGAGTGGGTTGTCAAATGCATTGAAAGAGTCTCTTAGTGTATCGCAGTTAGTGCATCGTCAAGACAGCGTGTTATGCTCCGGGAACAACTGAACCAAAGAGTCGGGAGCTGTGCTCGTGTGTTGTCTAGTGTATCGCAAGTTGTAGCGTGGAGAGTCTCGAGAGTACGTGGAGTTCCGAGAACGACCAAGCAGATTGTACTCTGGTGCTTTGCAGTGAAGCTCCACCGTTATTGCCTGACAATGTGAAGGTTGTGTCGCTGAATGTGTTAGTGTGTTTATAACAGTTCGACAACTGTAAAAACATGTTTTGGAGCTGTCCTGACAATACTGACCAATAAAGTGTGTTTCGATACTTCATCAAGTAGTATTGTCATTATTCACTCCAAATCCTCACAAACCCCATACGAAACGTGAACGAAGAAAATAACGTAACAACTGGTGTCAGAAATAAAAAATTGTAACGGTATTTTATTTATGTGTTGAAGAAAAGTTTTATAAATTTGACATAGACTTAATTATTACTTATTTTCAAGTTTTGTCTAACTTGGTAAATTTATATTTAGTTTAAATTACAGTAAGTTATTTAATGATTAATTAAACATGTCAAAATTATTTAAAAGAAATGTAAGCCTAAGAATTTAATATTTAGCTGACAATATATTTGAATTAAACATCTACAAACGCCAAAAACATCTGCATGTACAAAACTTTAGAATTTAGACTGAAAATAAGTATAGATTTGAATTTTTTCCATTGTGATATTTTAATTATGTATATTTTGATAGATGTTTACCACAATTTAAAATTTACTTAACTTTTCTCTCTCTCTCTCTTTTTTTTTTTTTTTTTTATTATTCTGTTAAAAAAGTTTTCACTTTAATAAAAATTTGCGGCTCATCAGTTGTTTTTAAATTGTCAATTTGGCCTACATTCAGTTTCAGTTTGAGACCACTGACCTAATTATCCCCTAATTTTTCACAAAAGTTATCTGAAGAAAATAAAGATACGGGAACATGCAGTGGTAATAAATACATGCAAAAATATGGTACATAAAAGAAACTCTTTGCAGAAAAAAAAATGACAACTTAGAGGTACTATTTTTATCTTAATAATTAAATGTTAGATGCATCCAACACAAAATAAAATTTTAATATATGATGGCAAATATTTTCAAATATTTTTTAAAGAAGAACACACTAAATAAACTAAGCACATGAAAACAATTAAACTTACTGGCACTTAAAAGGACATTATTAGCAACAGGATTCCACAAAATTAAACCAACTCTTCTTTGATGACCAATGAGTTCTACGATTGGGTCCGTCAGAGGGCGAACTAAACCTCCATCCGGAATATGCCAAACTCGCACAATCCCATCCTCTGATCCGCTGGCAATAACATTGTCATTGAAGGGACACCAAGCAATATCAAGGACAGGCCCTCTGTGTCCAGTTACAAGAGGATAATTAGGTTCAATTCTTCCACACTGAAAAAAAACTTTGCTCTAAAGATTGATAATTTTATAACATATATCAAGTGACTGAACTAATGTATTTGATATCCAATCTATAACATAGACGTAAATTTTACAGGATGCTAATGTATATTCTATTGCTTAATTTGAAAGAAGAAATCAACAAATTTTAACGACGTTTGACGCAAAAATATATGCTAAAAATATATCAAAATAATTGACTGATAAATGAAAATTGGTTGATAAATGAAAAACCCAAATCAGATGCAAGTTAGCACATTAGATTAGGATTATTGGAGGTGTTACGGCAACAAGAATCAGCATAACATTCGAAAAGTTATAGGATGCTGCAAATTTATAAACACATGTTGATTCTTGTGCCATAACATCTCCAATAACCAATTAGATCATTAACAATGTCTTCCTTGCATACGCATAGATAAGTACCCGCAATAGTTTCTTGCCAGTACAGAAACACGGAAAATAAACTTTTTTGCCAAGGCCACTATAGAAGGACAGTAACCAATTACCACTGCTAAATGATATTCAACATTTTTTAAAATTTTATTTCCAACAACAAAGATTTTAACTTATTACAGGTAAAAAATTACGTCAATCGCAACAGTGAATTTCTGACCACTAATGGCACCAAAATCTAAAATTGTGGAGTGACAAAATAATATGCAAGTATAAAAAAAATTTTGAATATATTCAACAGAGAATTACTGGTTGGTAGCATACCTTAGAAAGTGGAAGAACCATAAAGGCACCTCCTCCAGCTGCTTCTATCACAATGGCTAAAAATTTTGGATTCACGGCACAGAAGCTGGAATCCCATGAGTTTGACGTAATCCGAATGTTGTCATAACATTGTTCACGCTTAAGCTGTTGCCCAAAAATATGCCTAAACTTGCTGCTACGAACTATCCGAAAAGACATCTGGAAAGATAAAAACAAACATTTCATTAAGGATGAAACAATGTATTAACTCAGAAAATATACAATGTATTAAGGTAGGCATTTCAAATTAAACAATAACTTGCAAAAATTTATTAAATGATAAATTAAACTGCAATTACAATATGTGCCAGTTAATGTTAACATTCAGATATAGTTACCGATTTGCAGAACTGTTTGCCTACAATGACATGGAAAATACATCATGGTATTATTGTATTATTCGCCTAATTGCCCCACAAAGCTAACAATCATTGGTGAGTAATATTTCGCAAACGTGCTAAAAATTATATAATACAGCAACGAATTAATAAAATTAAAAACACAATAAACATCCATAAGGAGATGGTAATTATTACATAAAGCAAGCATCCATAATGAAACATTCAAAATTTCATAAAACAGTGACCAATTAACTAAATTGAAAATGCAGCAAACATCCATAATAAAACACTTACCTTTGGCCAGTATTTAGTTAACATTTTGATTGAACTTGTAACTTCAGTTTTAAATAATGCAGTCCAGTACAAAAAATTGTGTACAATAATTCTCTATTTCAGTTCTAAATTTTCTTATTCAAATTCTAATCCAATTAAAATTAATTAAATTAAATTATTTATTCAAATTTTTGTTTTTATGAAATTTTTTTTTTCAAAACCATTTTTCCAGAAACATTTTTACATCTTTAGTAGTTTGCAACATCTATTTTCACAAACAGTAGCTGTTCATTTTTTTTTCTTTTACACGTTTTAATGATGACTAAAAGTTCGCAACATTTTTGCACACAAAACAAGTATTTTATTACATTTTACTTTTTTAAAAATTTACAACATAGGTTTTTACAATAGCTGTTACAGGTAGCAGCTTTACACTCTACTTTACATTGTATTAGAGCCCTCTATTTTTACAGCTAGCAGTAACAAACTACTCAACTGAACTACTTTAGCAAATGATAGTACGACTCAGAAATTCAATTATGTAGATCTAGGTAAGTTAAATTAAAACTTGCTATTTACTAGCCTATTTATTATTATTTTTATATTTTGATAGTTGTTATGGTTTATTTTAGGTTTACATGCATAATTCGTATCGGGAAAGTTTCCAGTAGCCAAGAGTTTCTAAATTACTTTGGTTTTCTACTCCTAATTGACTTTTAATTAATTTTAACTCTAATCATTTACTTGATTTTTTCTCAAAATTCCACTGTTTAAATTTCTTTTTTAGTAATTCACAATTCAGTCAAAAAATTTTAATCCGGACGTCCATAATCCGGAATGATCTATAATCCGGACCTCAAAGCTACAAACTTTCTGCCCATGCGTAAACGCATAGTGCATTAACGCTCACGCATATGAGTTTAGGCATGCGTGTAATACCTTTACGTATGCGCATAATACATTTATGCATGTGCGTTTAATGTATAACGGACAGTATAAGCTAAGCTAAAATTATCTAATTATCTATTTCAGTTATGTTGCAGATTGCATTGTTCCTTAATCTTCGAATTGAATCTGGCTTTATATTTTTTGCAGACTGTTAGAGCAATTTTATAAAAGTAAGCTTGAACTTTCGATTATGTCAAATAGAATTTCCGATTCTGGAGCTGCCAAAGGATCTACAAAGCGAAAGCATGTTTCGATGTCCATTAAACAAAAAGTGGAATTGCTGAATGGATAAAGGCATGAAGAAAGTGATAAAGAGGTGATTTGTTTCTCTAACCATTCCGAAATCTGTTTATCAATTTCACGTTGCTCTGCGAAGGGGGGGGGGTTCGTCGCAGCGAGCAATGAACTGGAAGTTGATCTGTCAGCACTATCCTCAGCTTCAGGGCAGATATTATTTAGCTTATAATTCCTTACTAAATGTAGTATTTCATCTCGATGTACGTCTTTGATATGATTTAAAATCAAATTCCTCGTCATTATAAATATCACGAATACGCATAAAATAGTTTTCTGGTTGCAATTTTCTAATTTCGACTATGCGTAATATATGCTTTACGCATGCGCGTGTTGAAAGAAATGTTTAATAAAGTAAACAAATAAATATTATTATTTTTTTTTTTTTTGTAAATTTTGATACCCTTTAGATCAAAATTGCTCTTTATTTCATAAATTACGATTTCATATTTTTAATTTTATAATTTCTGCATGCCATCTTACCAGATTTAAACTGATGATCTATAATCCGGAAAAATTGATAATCTGGAATCACCGAAGTCCCGACGAGTCCGGATTAGAGACTTTTGACTGTATTTGGTTTTACTTTTGGATTTTACTTTTACTCTTGCCTATATGGATGACGAAACACGAATTGAGTAACTGAAGAGTTAGGTTTGGGGCCAGCTTCGTCTTGATAAGTCTGTCTCCTGGCTGCTCAACAATTATTCACTTATGCAATTTTTTTGGATAATAATACATTTTTTCATGGTTTAAGATACGTGCAATTAATTTACATATACTCTCAGAATTTAAATGATATTGTAAATTTGTTCGCAGCAATAATAATTATTTTTATTTTTTTGAAATTACAATTTCTTAATTAAATTTTATTTGCTTTATACGAATAGAGAATATTTGTTAAATAACTTTCTTTTCCTATGGTCTTTTGTCCGTGTGCACAGCGGCCTGTTTTAATTTTAAAATGTGTAGAGAATTGTAGAATTCTCAGTATTGTGGAGCAAACAGGCACTGCTCTCCATGTCTTTTTAAAAAAATCAAAGAATTGTCCAAGAAAATCATTATCACAATCACCTAAGAACAGTTCATAAACTACTTTGGAGTTGCTACATATCTGTAATAATATAACATCCGAGATAAATAAAAGTTAGCCAAATGCATCATTTTATTACTTTAACAACAATAATGAAAATGAATACAGACAATACTTACATTTTAAGAGTCAATGTATACAGTACAGCTATCTGCTTTAAAATCTCTCCAAACCAATCTTTTGCTTTCCTTCCAGACATTTTCACCAAATAAATTCCCCAAGATAACTCAGACAAATCAATTGTTTGTAAAGTACAACTTCATGGGATGTGCATTTCTACACTCTACTACAACTGCTATGTAAAATGGCATATTTCTGAAAAAAAATGTGACACTTTTTTTTCCCCTCATCATCAGGCACAACTCCACAACTGCATAACAGTTCGTTATAAAGCGGAAAAAAGTATTAATGACAACCAGAAACTACAAAAATAACCCTTAAATTCCAAAATCAAGAGTATACAGTATGTTGCCAGATAAAATATATTTCCGTAAAATTGTGCATTGCCTACTTTGGCAACACAGTGCTTTGCCTGGTGATTTTTGTCAAAGATAGTGACTAATGCGTAGTATCTACATCGCTCATTGTGTTCAACATATAAGTTAATATGATCAAACTATTAGAGAAAAAATTTTAAAGTCACCACATAAAAGAAAAATTCGACAAATAAGATCAAAACAGATTATAAAAATTGCCAAGTGAGGGATTAGAACATGGGCAGGTGTCCCTCAAGGGCCCAGTTCTCAGCCCCCTGCTATTCCTTTTGTATGTTAACAACAAACTCCTGGAAGAGGACACCAGAGTTGCCTGTTACGCAGATAATATAGTAATCTGGAACACAAGCAAAGACATAGAAAAGTCTGATAGATCATTAAACCAATCCCTTGGAGGCATTCTGGCTTGGTCAGGAGAGATAAAATTAAAGATAAACCCTCTCAAAACAAGCTACGCAATTTTCTCCACGGATCAGAAATGCAGAAAATCGTTTCAACCTACCATATTAATAGATGGCTTGCCAATTACTAAGGCAGATTACCTATAATATCTGGGCGTGACCTTAGATGCTGAACTATGCTGCACTATACATATGGAAAATTGCTCGAACAAAGCACTAAGAAATTTCGAATTCTGAAAAGCCTATGTGGCACAGCTGGGGGAACCACTCCGAAAACACTAAGACCTACTTACATTGTGTTGATAAGACCTAACCTTGAATATGTGGCACCTATTTAGGCACATGCTTCTGAGACTGCATTGAGGAAACTTTACATGATACAGGCAAAAGCAGCCAATACAGTACAAAGTCCGTAATCCTGACTTGTTGGGACTTTGGTGATTCCGGATTAGGGGTTTTGGTTTTTCCGGATTATAGATCATCAATTTAAATCTGGTAAGATGGCATGCAGAAATTATAAAATTAAAAATATGAAACCATAATTTATGAAATAAAGTGCAATTATGATCTAAAGGGTATCAAAATTTACAAAAAAACTTAATATTTATTTGTTTACTTTATTAAACATTTCTTTCAATGTACGTTATTTAAGTTGCTTCGTTTTTTGTGCTAATACTTTCTCTTTAATTCTATAATTTTGTTTGATGGACATCGAAACCTGCTTTCGCTTTGTAGATCCTTTGGCAGCTCCAGAATTGGAAACTCTTTTTGACATAATCGAAAGTAGTTCAAGCTTAATTTTTATAAAATCGCTCTAACAGTCTGCAAAAAATAATAAACTGGATCCAATTAGAAGATTAACGAACAGTGCTATCTGCAACATTAACTGAAATGCCTTAGAAACAGTAAAGATAATTTTAGCCTAGCTTATACCGTCCGTTACACATTAAACGCGCAAGCGTAAAGCATACAAAAAAAAAAAAAAAAAAAAAATTGTGCCTTTGCGGTCCGGATTATAGATCATTCCGGATAATAGACGTCCAGATTATGGCACTTCGTACTGTATCACCTACCAGTAACATTAAGGCAGAACAGGAGTGCTGACTTTCGACCCTTTTACAAATAAGGAAATATCTCATACTTAAGTTTACAAACACGGCCAGGAGCCGAGACATACGGCACATCTCCAGAAAGACTTTTGGAAAATGGAACAACAGGTCAAGACTTAAGAGGTCATCTACTCTGAAATATGACAATGAGATCAGAGAAAATAATGCTCTCAAATATAATACCCACACTGTCCTTCAAGAGATTA